TAGAACAACGGAATGTTATGTCATTTCTCTTTGAACAATCTATAGCTTTTCATGATTTATACAGATGATGGTTTTGCTATAATCTTTATAGCACAAACAGCTTTTCTCCTGAAACTATTTGATGTGCTCTTATGCCTGAGTATATTTATTTCTGAGTAGATATAGGCTGACTCTGATCTATGTACAGAAGACCCATTGAATTCAATGCAATGTAGGGTTATTACCCTTAGGTTCAGACCTTAAAGATTTTCTTTACCTTTAGGGAGATGTCACAAAAGATGTCTCCAGCAAATCCCATTCATGTGCCATGAAGAGAGGAATGTTAGAGACTTTTATTAGAAGAGCAAAAATGTGATCCATGCAAGATAGGACCTCAGAATAATGTGAGAAGGTTAAAGGAGTACTCAAATATACCTCTACTCCACTAGTTCCCAACTTTGGGTCTCCAGATATTGTTAGACTGCAACTCCCAGAAATCCTGTCCAGCACAGATAGCATTGAAGGCTTTTGGGAATTTTAGTCCAAGAACATCTAGACACTTAGGTTCCCAAAGTGGTCTATATGGACTCCCAGGGGTCAATTTTGACTTGCAGGGGGTCCATGTCAGTGAGAAAAAATGAGGGTGCATGAGATGTAAATGGAGGTCTATGTGAGCAGATCCCAATTGAAGGCAAAAAAGTTTGGGAACCTGTGCAGACTCAAGTTGGGAACCGCTGCCCTCGTCAATATACTGTGAAATTTTTGATGGATACATTCTCTGCTGGACTCCCAGGGGTCAATTTTGACTTGCAGGGGGTCCATGTCAGTGAGAAAAAATGAGGGTGCATGAGATGTAAATGGAGGTCTATGTGAGCAGATCCCATTAGGTAGATCATAATAAATATTTAGGTGATCCGTAATTACACCTAACACAGATTCCGTGTATATGATCTTTCATAATATTATTTAATTAGGTACTATGTACTATCTGTATTGTGGTGTACTACATTCATGTGTAAGTTTGTAAAATTATTGGTAAAATTTTATGGTAAATGTTGGTGTGTTGTAAATGGGATCAATGACATTTTGCCATTTCTCATTACTGAGCTATACGGGCACACACATCACGCACGTATGTACTTAAATCCCTAAAACACGTTTGAACATGTTAATACGTTTAGGAAAATGCGATCTTAGGCAGGGGGTCTACAGAAAACAAATGTCAGCAAGTGATCTACAGGGCAAAAAAGTTTGGGAACCTATGCAGACTCAAGTTGGGAACCACTGCCCTAGTCAATATACAGTAATGTGAAATTTTTGATGGATACATTCTCTGCTTGCACTTATCATGGCAAAACCAGACTGACTGGTATTCTACCTTTCATCTAGTAATGTGTGCTTCAGGAAGGCAACAAAAAGCATATGTACTGGTTTTTAGTGAGCCACGATATCCTTTTTTATTTTATCTGGTTCAAAAGTCTCACATGAACATGGCAACCCTACTCATCCTCCATTTCATTATCATCCTTTCTACTGAGGTTAAACACTTTAAATTCAGTGTACTGCAAAAGCTTAAAGAGCAAAATAGCTTACAACTTTCCCAGGAATATACTTTGGATAAAGGGGAAGCTGTCCCCAGCATCTTTCCCATTTTCGTCAAATGTGGGTTTTGGGGGAGAGGTTGGTGACCAGCCTCAGAGGCAGATGACAATGACGACAATTATAATAATATTAGATGAGGACAGGTTTACAGTCTAGCCTTTTTCAGAGTCAAACAAGGCTGGTCCAAGATATAGGCTGTGTGAACAACTGTGGCAAGTAGCATCATTCCCAAGGCTAGTCATTTTACTGCAATATCTTGGGCAGTAAATCACACATTTATCTCTCAATGTCTTTGGCACTAGGAACACAATAATAAATTGAAAAGAGTTTGCTGTCTTTTCAATACCCTTGAGAGGAATGACCAGCTATCTTCTTAGCTAACGGTAGGACCAGAAGCATGCAACAGGCTGTATCAAAGCTCCATAATGCAGAGACAGCATCTTTGTACATCATTAATTACAACCTCTTCCTCTTGCACAAATAGACCAAAACATACATTTCAATTCTGCTCTAAAAGGAAAAGAGAAATACTATGAGACTATTTTTACTAGTTATATTTCTGAATTCAGAAGATTCTCTTTCTTAGACATGGAAAACAATTGGGATACTCCTTCCAAAACCCTGATGAAAACTTGATGGTGTCCATTGTTATTTTAGGTAAAGGTTCCCCTTGATATTTAGTCCAGTCGTGTCCAACTCTAGGGCACGGTGCTCATCCCTGTCTTCAAGCCGTAGAGCCAGCGTTTATCCATAGACAGTTTTCGTGGTCACGTGGCCAGCGCGACTAGACATGGAATGCTGTTACCTTCCTACCATGGTGGTACCTATTTATCTACTTGCATTTACATGCTTTTGAACTGCTAGGTTGGAAGGAGCTGGGACAAGCGACAGGAGCTCACTCCATTGTGTGGATTCAATCTTACGACTGCTCGTCTTCCGATCTTGCAGCACAGAGGCTTCTGAGGTTTAACCCGCAGTGCCACCACATCCCCTGTTATTTTAAGTAAGTACAATTTTAGTTAAACCGTTTACAAATAAAAGGCTGAACATCTGACTGTAGGTGAACATGCTAAACTTTATGCTATTAACAAATTCCACCAAGAATTGAATCTCAGGTGGGTGAATTTCATTTCCAATTATGCTTTCTGAGAAAGTGCATCATATCCCACAGATTATAGCCACATGAATGTCAGACACTTCTAGCAATAATCCATAGAATTTTGGCAGAACATTTTTATATATTAATTCCCAGCTCTGGCACGCTTGTCTAAGAATATTATTTTTAAAGAGACAAAGAAGAGCAAATAGTGGGACTTTTTATTTCTTAGATTTGTTTTCCATCTATTTGACAAAGCTGTATAGAACAGTCTGAAGAATGGAGTAAACACACCAAAAATCTTGTGTATTCATTTCCCACTTTTATTTAAGAAATGTGAGTACAGATTCTATTATCCAATCAGAAGAAAGATCAAAGCCAATATTTCTTATGAAAAATCTGATGCAGGTACAGTATAAGTGTTCAAAGAACAAACACTTGATTAGCAACATAAACAAAATATGTTACACATGTAGTTCGTTAGGGACTGGGAGACCATTTATGGCAGCCAGGATACTTTCAAGCATGTTTTTCATCATAAGGTGGCGGGCTTGTGCTGTTGCACTTCCAATGTGAGGAGTGATAATGACATTCTTTAAGTGTAGTAAAGCATGATCTCTGAAGGGGAAAAATAATGAAGGGGAATGAGATGTTAATAGGCTTTTATATAATTGGTTGTCTCTGAGTTACATTAGAGAGTAGAAGCAGATCACTAACTGATATCATGCTGAAATTTAAAAACATATTAACTATTTTGCTATGGATAGTTAGGCTAAAACAACTGCATATTTATTTTCTGTGCATCATGCACTTTAAGACTGAATCTTGCTTATGTAGTTGCCATTAAGTTAGCATAGTATATCACATGAGATAATACATACAAAAAAATTAACTTCAGGAGTACAAGCACGATATACATGAAATGCAGGGATTTTCTCAATTGTATTTTGGCCTTAATTATGTTGTAAAATTTTTGATACCTTGGTAATGGCTCAGGGTATGTCACATCCAAAGCTGCAGCCTTAATAATTCCATTTTGGAGTGCCTTCACCAATGCATCTTGATCAATCACTTGTCCTAAATTAACAATAGCATAATTTAAGATTTGCCAAAACATTGACCTTTTAAACTACCAGTTAAAGAACAATGATTCAAACTTTCTACAAAAAGATTTCAGTCAAACCATGTGTGTATCCAAGATCTAATCCACCTAGCTAAGATTACCCTGCAGTTTCACAGCTATTAAATTTTTGCAGTGGATATAAAGCCCATGTTTTCACATTAAAACGAAGGGCATGGGGAACACATCTTGTTTTAAAGGAGAACCACAGAGAGCCCAACTCTTGGTGTGCATTGTTTTTGCACAAAAAGTGAGTTTAAGAAACCTAAAGTTGGCAGGAACATGTGGCCAACAGTAGCACTGGTAGAGGGGGTGGAATCCACCCAAACTATCCACCCCAATCTTCTTCCACCATTCCTAAAAAGGGGTCCTCATGTTAAAATGGTGGACAATTGCTAGAGGTAATATGGTCACCCCCAACGGCTGTCAAGTTCACCAACTGACTCCATTGGGTGGCAGGGATCCAATCTGTTCCATATGCAGTCTCCAATACCACATAATTCTTTTAAAAATATTTTTTCCCCTCAAGAAGACCACTTTGTGCTTTCTCAGGGTGAGGGGGCAATTTTGCCATGTTTGGAAGGCCCCAGCATCCTGGCCTCTCCCATTCCACATTTTTTTATTCTCCGGAATTTTGCCACTAGACCATAGAAAGGTGCTTTTAAATTGAGATGAATGAATGAAAATATTTGGGGAAGCACAGACGGGGTGCAACTCTCCAAGGTCCTCTGGTGGGCATGTGCATCCCACACTCATTAGGAAGTTGCTTACTCCTGTTCTATAGCCAGCTGTGTGTTTCTCTTTGACTGTAACTCAGGTACACTAGAGTCAAAGAAAACAGCTTATATTTTAATAGGGAGAATAATGAAGTCAGTTCAATATTGTTCACCATGCCACAAAAGATTATCTGGTTTCTTAAACTGGAAAGGCATATCTCTCCAGGGAGGCACACAGGAACTTTGTGTGTCTATGTATGCATTTGTATCAATCTCAAATTGGTGTTGCATAAGTGTTTCTAAACATAATCTGAAAGAAAAAATTCATCTAATACAGGAATATCACTGAAAACATAGTTGTATTCCTCAGTGAAAACAACATGTCCGCACAGGTCCAATCAGGTATCCTTTGAAGCATATACTGCTTTTGTTTCATATCTACTGTTAAAGGTCAATTGCATCATCATCATCATTGTGTGTGTGTTATTTGTGCCATCAAGTCAGAACTGACTCATGGTAACACTAATAGGGATTTCAATGTAAGTGAAATATTTAAGGAGTGCTTTGCTAGTGCTACCCCTCCACTGAATTTTCAAGGCGAAGCAGGGATTTGAACGCTGGTCTTCAGACTCCTAGTTCGTTACTCCTAGTCCATCACCCATACTAGGTCTCACATATTGTATATGTATATGTGTGTGAGAGAGACACCCAATGTGGTGTATGAAAAGACAGATAGAGAGATGCAGATAGATATATGGCAGTGCCTATGTATGCATAAGGTCTTTCTGCCAACACCACCAACACAATCTTCCCCCCAAAATTAGTACCAATATGATAGGAAGAACAAGTCTGTTCATCACTTAAGGTGGGATTACCATGCTTGACAAATAGCTACCATATCCAACACATAGGCACTCAGGACAGGTCAGGAGGGGAAAACACAGCATAAAGAAACATTAAAAAATACTGTGAGAATGCCACTGAATCTTCAGTGTCCCAAACTTTGTACCCAAGCAGATACCTTAGGCAACCAGAGCATCAATCTCTTATCCATCAACCTTCCACTAATTCATCTGATAGGTCCCCTTTGTTAAGCAAGATCCAAGCAGGCATCCTCAGCCCCAACCCTCAAAGCCACTCCTTTCTCACCAGAGTGTCTCATTCATATATAACTGGGTCATTCTCCCAGCTTTATTTACCTTGGTGGCATGGTATCTAGCTATTTCCTCATTCATGGCCTTTAAGATAGCAAATCTTCAGTACAGGATTGTGCCCTAACTGTAGGAGCAACCTGTAGTCTGAGCTGGGGGCGGGGTGGGTTTCGTCCAAAATGCTGGGCCCTGTTCATATCACTGGCCAACTGGGCTGAGTACATCAGGATCACAGGGATTTAGTTCATAGGCTTGTAAAATCTTGGCCACCCCTCCAAACAGATCTTACTGACCAGACATTTGTTGTTGCTACAACATAAATTTTTGTCATGATGCTGAAAAAAAAAACGTGATTGCTCTGAGTATCGAGGCATTGATTGATATTGTTACCTCTGCAGATGTTGATGAGTGTAGCAGTGGGTTTCATGAGCCCCAGCTCCTTTTCCCCAATCAGTCTGGCCGTCTGAGGTGTCAGGTTCACCACAAGCATCACAAAGTCAGACTGTCGGAGTAAGTCTTCCATCTTGTGGCAGTAAAGTGCACCCACAGCCTCTTCATCCACCACATTTCTTCAAGGGGGGAAAAAGCCTTTTACTTAGTTAAAGATTTAATGTGAATCATGTCTCAGTTGCTGTTTAACATCTACCAGAAATCACAGGAAGATGTCATATCACAATAATTGGGGTTCAAGTCACCAATTTGCCGATAGTGTCCAACAATCTCACTTTTCAATTCAGGAGTCTAGAAAGGCTGCTGAAATCCTGAAACTTCATCTAGGATCCATGAGAGATTAAATATGGACTAAGAATATCGAATTTATTACAGACAAATTGTAAGTACTGTTAGTGGGTAGAACAGTTTTCCTGAAGAAGTCAGATCTTGCCAGTGTCTTTGTTGCTGTTTCCACTTATATACTGCCCCATAGTGCTAAAGCTTTCTCTGGGCATTTTACAACCTAATTACACACAATCTCTAAATCAACATTATACACATCTTGGCCACACTGCCCCCCTGTCACCACCAGCTGGGTACTCATTTTACCAATCTCTGAATCAACATTATACACATCTTGGCCACACTCAGATTGGATTACCATAATTTACAGGACTGCCTTTGAAAAGAATAGGAAATACAGAATGTTGCTGACAAGAGCTAGGGGTGCTAAGACATATTTTGTACTGTCTTCACTGCCTCACAATGCTTTTCTGAGCCCAATCAATAGGAGTGGCATTACCCTTTAAGCCAGGGGTGGGGAACCTCTAGGAGGCAGAAGCTTGGACTCCATCCCCTACTCGTCCTTGTTCTTGGATACCTTCAGGTCCCCAGCCAAAGCACTAGCTATTTGCAACCCCTGGCCCTGCCTTGACTGCAAAAGGAAAGCAAAGGAAGAATGGTTCAGCTGGTACTTTACAGAGATGAACAAACCTAACCTCAGCCAGGCCACCAGTGTGTTCAGCTAGGCAAACTTTACGTTTAAGATACAGGTGACAGAGCAGCTCACTTTAGTTCTGAAAGCTAGGGTGCTTACCATGAGTTATGGTCAAAGTTGCTAGCCAGTTATGTGCGTCCCTGCATTTTGTTTGGGAAACTACTAACAAACAACTCGTTGGCTAACGAAGCACTCTTTAATGGGAGCTAATGACTGTGAGATAGCAGAAGTTCCTCTTGCATGCTCTCCATCCTAACAATACTCAAGGGCTTGCATACTAATATCCTGCAACAGGGACAGGCAGAGTGTAGCTCTTCAAGCATTATTGGATTGCAACTCGTAACGTTCCTCACCACTGGCTATGCTGGGTCAGGCCAATGGGAGCTGCAGGGTAGTGCCATGTAGTGACTCATGCTTTGCTCACCACTACTATAGCTTTTGTGTTTCCCATTCCTGACAGATCAATTGAAGGCAATAATCATTTGCTCACCATGGCTCTCTGGTTGCAATGGAATTTAAATGATTAGTGCTGAAGTTGGGAGAAACTAGAGAGAAAACAGAGTAAAGCCAAGTTTCGTGGACTGATCAGAGATATGCTTACCTTCGGTTCCTGTTATGATAAAGAATTTTCATGTCAAAAGCTTTGGCTCTCTGGGCTACCTTATAACCAATGCCGCCCATTCCAATGATTCCCAGAGTTGCACCCGTGACCTCTTCTCCCAGCCAGTCAGCATTAAAATGTTTAGTATCCGGAGAAACGGCAATCTGGTGACCTGCAAATGGCAACAAACAAAAATGAGAAGGGGGTTGTTTGTAGTATTTTAAGAACCATGCTAAAAGGTCGAAAGAGGCAGTACCCATCCCAGTGTGGCCAATTGCAGCTGTTAAATTATTCTGAACTATCATCCAAAGAACTTCTTCCCTCTTTTAATTTCTGAAATACCATAAGCCGTCTGGAAGGTATGCTTTTGCATGTTAGAAACTCTTCACAATCTGAGCTATTTGGAGATGGTGCAGTTATTTAGCAGTTATCAGAGGAGGATAGCTTGTACTGAAATATAAATTACCCTTATTTTTGTTGGAGTTCTTTCAACCCCCTATGTTGCCTTTAGTAGGTTTGGCTTGGAGGGACCTTTCTGGACTGGGATGCCTGTCAATCAATCCTGCATTGACTAATTGCTTCTTTCCTGCCTCTGATTTCAAGAAGAGCCACACCCCTCTGCTTAAGTGTCTTTTTCTCTCTCTTTTAGTCTGCTGGCAGCAGTTAGTGTAGTCTGCTAGAAGCAGTCTGTATGTCTATTGAGACTTGTTGCTACATAACAGCAGTTTTTGTACAGTATGCAATTTTTGATCTGTTCAACTGTGAATAAATTAAACCTTTTTTTTTCTCTTACCAATGTCTCCAAGTGAGTAATTGAGACTGTAAGTGCCAGTTGATGAAAAATAAGGTGTGGTCTACTTTGGGAACACTTGAAGCTATTTTTGCTATATAAGCCCCTGCATTCCTGCTGTGTAGTTAAGAGTTTGTTTCACAAAAATTCAAAACTCAGCAAAAATATTTAGGTTCTAGAGCTTGTTGTGGGACTGCAACCCCGGTGGCCATTCACCTTGAGCTGCACTGAAGCGAATTGCAGTTTAGCGACATTTGGAAAGATCACACATTCTCCCTCCTTGATATGAAGCTTAATAAATTCTAAATGATTTTTTAACAGAGCTGATTTCGTTTACAAGAATCTGTCAGATCAAGTAATCTTTGGAAGCTCTTCCAAGAGAGGTACAATTGACTGGGAATGTTTCAGATGTAGCAGACCAATTATGGAACCTGTCACCACCTCTCAGGTTAAACTAGTCCCATTTCTTGTACATGGAGAATCAAGATATTTTTATTCTGCCAGAATCTGAGCGTAAACTTCCTAGCTATGATTTTTGTTTTAATTGATTTATTTTGAATGATCCCTTTTTAAATTGAGTTTTTTTCCTGATTTTTTGCTTGGGAACTCTTTTTGGGACCAAAAGGTGACAACATTTTTAAAAACACAGATAACAGAAGTAAATATAAATATGTGGGTCTTCCAACAGTAGAACATTGTCTGTCACAGCCTCCTTTCAGTACCTCTTTCCATGCATCCTAAGCATAGTAGTGGAAAGAACCAAATGAATTTGCGATCTGCTTTCAGTGCATTAGTACCTACACTGTGAACATTATATGAAAGCAAGTGTGATGTAGCAGAGTGTCTGGCTAGGACTCAGAAAATCTGGGTTCCGATCCCTGCTTATCCATGGAAATCTGCTGGCGGCAAACTACTCTCTAAACATTTCACATTGCTCATAAACCCTAGTAGGGTTGCTGTAACTGAGAAGTGATTTGAAGGAACATAACAGCAACAATTGTACAGAGCGTGGCAAAAAAATATTCCAGATTTCACTTAGCTATTGTTCTGGTGAAGCTGGCTGGGTCGTAGTGGGGTCTTTTGGTAGCACGTGCCTTACCATTTTCATTCGCCACCATGGCTTGGATGCCAAACCTGTGGCCCTGAAATTTTCATCCCATAGCAATATGGTTTTTCAGTCTGAAACAGCAGCATTTCGACCAAGCGCGAAGTGGATACGAAAAGCTCTCTGTATTGCAGTCACAGATTTGTTGTTTTTGATAAATGCTTCAGTGATGAACACCCAGTGCATACCTGTCGAAGCCATGGTGGTGACTGAAAACAGTAAGGCATATGATACTGAAAGACCCCACTGCGACCCACCCCACTTCACTAGCGCCAGAACAACAACTAAGTGAAATCTGGAAGGGTGTTTTTTTTTGTTTTGTTTTTTTTGTTTGCTAAGTGAAATCTGGAAGGGTGGTTTTTTTGTTTGTTTGTTGGGTGTTTTTTTTTTTGCTGTGCCATGTATAATGAGAATGATGCAGATCAGCTTTGTTGAAGTCGTTGGGTTTTTTTTTTTTGCTGCCCCATGTATAATTAGAATGATGCAGATCAGCTTTGTTGAAGTCTTTACTAGTGAGCCCAGCAGCTGTCAATCCACACAGCTTCCTTGCCAACCATGTTACAGCAGGTAGTCTTTTTCACACGCAGTCACTTCTAATTCTACGTCTGTGTAATTCAGTGCTTGTAGCTCATGTAAAACCCAATAGATACTGTGTTTTCCCTGAAAATAAGACAGGGTCTTATATTAATTTTTGCTCCCAAAATGCATTAGGACTTATTTTAGGAGAGATTTTTTTCATGTTCAACAATTTACGTTTATTCAAATGCAGTCATGTCATCTTCTTCTGGTTGCTCCACAATGGTGGAAGGTGGGGTTTCACTTAAGTGGCGCTTATTTTTTGGGGTAGGGCTTATATTACAAGCATCATAATAAATCATACTAGGGCTTATTTTCAAATTAGACTAAATCATACTAGGGCTAATTTTCAGGTTAGGTCTTATTTTCAGGGAAACAGTAATAACGCTATCAAACTGCTTTTTGTTCTAGTCTTGAAACTGAAATAATGCTATCAAAGCTGCTTTTTGTTCTAGTCTTGAAACTGAAAATCTGATTTAAGGAATTATATTTTCTAATTATCGTATAGCACTTAACTATTGCATAAGCAATCCATAAACAACCTATTAACCCCCCTTTAAAAATAAAGAGTTTAATGATAATGTAAATTATACCTTCTACAATCCTCCTAGCAGAAGCCAGCATCAAAGCTATTCCCAGGTCTGCTGTAGGATTGGAAACAGCCAACGGAGTGTTTGCTGCTTTCACACCAAAGCTGAAGATCAGTTTTAGGTCGAGGTGATCCACTCCTACACCAGAGTTAACAACCACCTTTAAATTAGGCAAGCTTTGTAGGAGTTCTTTGTCCACCACTGGTTTATAGTACCACACAAATACAGCTTTGATTTTATGCCTAAGAACTTGCTTGTTTTTAAGAAATTCCTTCATGGTGATGATCTTGAGATGTTTCTCCAGGTATGCTACATGGTCTTCATATACTCCATCTGGACCTCCTATAACATTGATTAGGACATATGGTGGCTCTTTTTCTTCCATAGTCTATTAAGACAAAAAGGAAATATATATAGGTACAGAAAAAATGTGTTTTTAAAACAAATATGAAAGCAAGACTCCTCCTTCTTGTTGAAAGTTATGCTGTTCACGTTCTGGAGGAGGATTTTTGCCAATGGTTCTAACACTTTTTGAGATTCACAGTTGGATTTAGAGCTTTGCCTCATTCACTGTAATTACAGTGGGGTCTTGACTTAAGAACGGCTCGAGTTAAGAACATTTTGACTTAAGAACCACTCTCATAGGAAAATATTGACTTGACTTACATACTTAGATTTGAGTTAAGAACTGAAAAAAAACCCACGTGGGAGGCAGGGAAAGTGCAAAATTTGAACTTTCAGTTAACTGTTGGCCAGTGAAAAGGGTGCCTGTCTGCTTCCTCACTCCTCCCAGCGTTTAGAGAGTGGATTGGGAGACAGTCTTTGGACTGCCTGGTACTGTCCTGCCTGGACTGTATTTTCCCTGCCTTCCCTGAACCTTTCTTGACCTAAGAAAAAAAGAAAGAAAATATCCCCCTCTAGTGGTCGAAGGCAGAATAGCAGCTTCCCATTAGTTTCTATGGACGGAAAAGAGCAGATACGGATCAAATGGTTCTCAATGCATTCCTATGGGAAATGCAGATTTGACCTGAGAACTTTTTGACTTGAGAACCGCCTTCCAATACGGATTAAGTTCTCAAGTCAAGACCCCACTGTATCAAGTTGCACCCTGCAATGATTTGTTAGTGGCTCTGCTCAGGTTTGCCTGTTAACATCCTTAAGAGCCAAAAGGTAGAGATTCATATCTTGCCACACTTACAATGTAACTCGTTCATAGGATCACCAGAAATCAGAGTTGGCTTTGCAGCATGTAACAATAACAACAGGATGGAATATGAGTCATGTTTTGTTGTAGAATCAACACAGAACAAAATCTAAAATGGAGGCTCCATTTGCTTCCCCAGCTCAGGTGGCAATATGCCTTCAGCTGTCCTGAAGGCATACAGAATTTGTGAGGTTTTCTGTGTTATATGCCAAAAACCAACCAACCAACCAACCAACCAACCAAAAAAAACCCCACACATATCAGATTCTTGTGAATATGAGGCACCTTGAGTGGGTGACATTGGTTGTTTGCTGCTCTGCCTCAGATAGCAACATATCTTGGGCTCAGCCTATTACTAGCTCTCCCTTCAGCATCAAATGTGACTAGTACATATATTTCTCAGTAAAGCTGCTCCCCAGTCACTAACAAAACACTGGTGCAAGCCTAATGAAGTGGGCCCTGCTCCATGAAAGCTAGCAGATTGTATGATTTCTTTAGTGGTCTATAAAGGTATTGCCTACTCCAGCATTTGTATTGTGTAATGACCACATGGCTTTTAACAATTTCTACTAACATAGATATAAGCCGCCTAGAGTGGTCGTATAGACCAGATGGGCGGGATACAATTCAAATAAATATATAAATAAATAAATTAAAAAATAAGGCTAAAAGCAAACATCTGTTCCTCCCCTCATTAAAAAAATCCCAAAAAATCTCCCCCCTCCATTACTTATACAGTGGTGCCTTGACTTATGAACTTAATTGGTTCCAGAACTCCAGTTGCAACTCGAAATGGTCATAAGTCGAAGCACAATTTCCCACAGGAATGCATTGAAATGCAATTAATCCTTTCCGGCCAAAGAAAAAAATCACCAAACAACAACAACACTGCAATACCCTTTGGAAACATGATTAATCCGTTCCGGCCGAGGGGGGGGGGGAGAAAAGCAAACTAACCATGCAAGACCTTTTGGAAATACACAAAAAGCAAAGCAGAAAGCAAACAAACCCTGCAGGACCCATCAAAAATTGAAAAAAGCAAAGCAGGAAGCAAACAAATAGTGTAAGACCCTTCGGAAATGGGGAGAAAAAAACCCCAAAACACAAACAAACCCCGCAAGACCCATCGGAAATGGGGGGGACCACCAAAAAGCAAACAAACCCAGCAAGACCCATCAGCAATGGGAAAAAACACAAAAAACAAACAAACCCTGCAAGACCCATCACGGCAAAGAAACATAGTCCCACCACCCAGCCCAAAACCACGCTGCAAAACTCACCCAGAACAGTTTTTAAAAAGCAGAAAGCAGCACTTTACCTTACCAGGCAGTCCGAAGTCTCTTCTGATCACAGTCACTCTAACCGATGGGGTGAAACAGCTACTGTACAAAGAAGCAGCCTCTTCACCACCAACGGTTAGCAATTTGAATTCCCTGCCTTTTTCAAGTTGTAACTAGAAGCTCTGGCTGCAAGTCGAAGCAAAATTTTGTGGCTGGAGCTGGTCGTAACTTGAAATGGTCATTATGTCAGGACATTCGTACTGTAAGTTGAGGCACCACTATATTGCACTTCCATTCTAAACTTACACAATCCAATCTTATTGGTTGGAATTCACCACTTATCTGAACAAACAACAAATAAGGACTCCAGGTCTAAAACACTCTTAACTGGGAAGTTACATCCCTAGTTGAGGAAGGGACTCCTGTGTTAAGAATTCTCACAACAAGGGTTGTTAGTTTTCTAGTAGTTCTTTTACCTCCAGACATTCTTTCAGCGATAAGCAGGAAAAGAAACAAAAAGGGAGACAAATAAGGGAAACAAATGCTAACATTCACTTTGGCTTTTTCTTAATGGTATGCAATAATCGGCTAACTGGTACAAAGTACAGGTTTGCTGAATGATGGCACAATACCTCCTTCTTAGCTCCCCCTCCCTTTATTAAAAGAATACAAAATACTGTACCTCTTTCTAGCAGCCTGCTGCAGAAAGTAATGAGTCTGGGCCTGGATTCTGACAGGATGGTCTGTAGTAGAGCTGTGACTCTTGAAAATGCTATTTAATCAATGTTTAAGGGTGCTTAAATCCCACACTTTTTAAGGCACAGGAAGAAGTCAGCAGGGAGGACTTTGTTCCTAAACAGTGAAACTGTGAAGTTAAAACAGCGGACGACTTCTACTGCAAGGAGAAATCTAGGTTGAACTGGTACTGATTAAATAGTACAGTACAGTAGTTAGGTATGTAAGGAAGAGCAGCATTCCTGTGTGAGGTGATCTTTAGCAAGGCTGGAAATTAGATATTGCTAGCAAGCAGTTCTAGTAAATTGCTCTTCCTTAAGACAAAAAGACAGAAGCCTACCTATAATTGCTCATCCCAAATAGAGTAGCCGTGCACAAATACCCCCATCAATGTTAAATGGTAGGTTAACATATCTAATTCTCATTGACTTGGAGAGTCTGCTTAAATTGGAACTAGCAATTAGATTTAGGCCAAATACATTGCAACTGTACCCTCTCTAGAAATTGTACTTTTTCTTTTTTGCTTTTTGAGTTACTTTAGCTTCCAGTTTGCAGCAGTATCCCTAAGACTGTGCATATTTTAATTTTTGAACTGCAACTCCCAGAATTCCCCAGGTAGCATAGTGACCATACTACAGTGGGGTCTTGAGAACTTAATCCGTATTGGAAGGCGTTTCTCAAGTCAAAAAGTTCTCAGGTCAAATCTGCATTTCCCATAGGAAGGCATTGAAAACCATTGGATCCGTATCTGCTCTTTTCCGTCCATAGAAAAAATGGGAAGCTGCTAGTCTGCCTTCGACCACTAGAGGGGGATATTTTGTTTCTTTTTTTCTTAGGTCAAGAAAGGTTTAGGGAAGGCAGGGAAAATACAGTCCAGGCAGTCCGAAGACTGTCTCCCAATCCACTCTCTAAACGCTGGGAGGAGTGAGGAAGCAGACAGGCCCCCTTTTCACTGGCCAACAGTTAACTGAAAGTTCACATTTTGCACTTTCCCTGCCTCCCATGTGGGTTTTTTTCAGTTCGTAACTCAAATCTAAGTACTTAAGTCAAGTCAATATTTTCCTATGAGAGCGGTTCTTAAGTCAAAATGTTCTTAACTCGGGCCGTTCTTAAGTCAAGACCCCACTGTACCTGGGGAATACTGGGAGTTTTAGTCCAAAAATGAAAATATGCACCTCTAGTGCTTTCCCTTCATTATATTCTCACAATAACTATTTATGTGTTTTGAATGATTTTGGTGTATAGGAACGCTTCTGTTGGCATAAACTGTGTCTGTGGGGTTTGCCAGTCAACTGGTGTGCCTTCCGTGCTATATGAGTGGGTGTGCTTCCTTCACAAGCCTAGAAGTGCTGATCTAGTCAAAGTCTCTGGTGAGTTTCAACACACTCTCTCTCTCTCTCTCTGCCTGTCTGTTTCCATGCACATGTGTTCAGCTGCCCAGAAACTTCTGTTTTAATTTTTTCTCTGTCATTCTGTACTAGAGTTATGCCAGGTTGCAATAATTACTTAAAATTAAAATATTTAAAATACCACAACTGCAGCAGCTAGTGACTGGGAGAGGCAGCTAGCGCGAGGATGATCAGCCACAGGATAAAGCCTCAGTGCAGCAATTCTAAAAACCTGTTTAGCTCCCTTATCCAATTTTGGCAAAGTGGCATCGAAATGCCCTTTCACTCCTTCTCTTCTGTTGCAGCAAATTAACACCGGAGGTTCATTCTCACAGTAAAGAGCAGAGACAGATAAACAAAGTGAGTGAGGAAAGGCAAACTGAAACAGTTTATTTTACCGTTAAAAGGTATACTGGGCCAGAGACAAAAGGAGTATGCCTCTTGGCACAGTTATAAAATCTTAATATTCTTTCTTGTCAATCACAGAATAATAAAGTTGGAACAGAAGAAGTTCATTTAAAATTACCATATAGCAGGCAGTATTCAAATAGTTGCCTATTATGGAGATATAGCTTATGCATTTATTGCCAGGTAGGCAGGAAACAGTTAATGTTTAGCCACACAAGTCAATAAATGTTACTACCTAGAATGTCCAGGTTTACCTTTGACCTGGCAGTCTGGCAGCTTCTACTAATCCTATCAAGCACAACAAATAGTTAATATATAATTGGATATATGAGTTACTAACCTGTATCTTATCTACTAGTTTTTAAAATAAAATTTCTGAGCCTATTGTCTTGATAAGCTTATGACAGTTCTTTGAAACGTAAGACCTACCATGTTTCCCCCAAAATAAGACAGGGTCTTATATTAATTTTTGCTCCAAAAAACGCATTAGGGCTTATTTTCAGGGGATGCTTTATTTTACAGCCATGTCATCTTCTGGTTGATGCACAATGGTGGAGGGCGGGGCTTCACTTAACTAGGGCTTATTTTTGAGGTAGGGCTTACATTATGAGCATCCTGAAAAACCAGACTGGGGCTTATTTTTAGGTTAGGTATTATTTTTGGGGAAACAGAGTATTAGTAATTCAAATTAATGTTTAAAAGTAAATATTTATATCACATCCTAGAGATATTTATGAGAATAGCAAGTGAGGTTCATCAACGTCAGTTTTTCTTTCCCAGTCAGTTTGTATGTCCAAGGCATCAAATTTACAATGATCATCACAGACTGTTGGAGCAAGTTTTCCATCTGAGGAGAACAGCAGGCACAACCAACCAGTTCTTCACATTCTTTCCTAACTGAAATATAACAATGATGTTCTGTTCAAAAATTCTTGGAGGTATGGAAGATACACATATACTCACTGTTCCTATAAGGGGGCTGGCAGATCTTCTGTGCTCTCTTTCTCTCTCTTCCTAGGGCCAGGCCCTCTTGCTTCCAGGAAAGCTGGTGCAATTGCCTCTGTTTATTGCTACTCCCTCCTTTCTTCCTCCCTCTCATTTCTACCAAGAGTTAATTGGAGCTGTTGTTGGCCACACAAAACTGAGGACACTGCAGAGTGAGGTTGCTGGAGGCTGAGGCTACTAAAAGAGAGTCTGCAAAGAAATGAGGAAAGGCTTGGCTACACCTCTGGAATTCAGTGGCTGCAAGCCATCTGTATTAGGCAGGGCTGCCTGAGTTTGTGGAGAAGAAATAAGAGGCTTGTCTATACCTGTGGATGTTTGAGCTGCACTGTTTCCTTGCTCTTGTTTGCTTCAGCTACATAAGGCACGGCCATTAATGGTTGATAATAGTTAAAGGGACAAATAGGATTGGACAGCAAGTGAAGAAATGGTTCTTAAAAGGCAAAAAATGGAGTCTCTGGTTGAAATACTACCTGAGAAACAGAAAGTTTAAAAATTCAGACTATGATCCCACAATTTTTCTCACCTAGGAGTGAAGAAGAAAGTGAAAAACATCTTATAGCTAACTCTTTATTAGATTATCTATTGACCACAGGTGTGCTATGCTTAGAGATACCATAGATGAGGGTGTTAAAGATCTTGCATTTGAGATAGCTGTGACGTTCACCTCTATGACGCACCTACTTTTTGTGCCCTCAGAAAGGTTCCAGTCTTTGTTTCCCTCACTGCCACCAGTGGATTACCTCTACCCACTATATAAAAGACATTTGTCCAAACACTTGTCTGGTAAATGCAAACAAAACTTATTTATTGAAGTGTAGGAAAATTAATAATAATCACAGATGTTCTTCAGATGTTGCGACATCCCAATTTCCGATCCAATCTCTATAGTTCATTTTCACTTTAGGCATGGGTAAAATCACTGGAGTAGAACTTATTCCCTTGATGGTAACAGTCTGGTTTGGGATAATTTGTTATTTAGGAATAACATCAGGATGACACAGGATTATTATGTTAGAACAAGTATCAACAACTCCTACATAAGACTTTTCATTAATAAGAATCCTCTCACCAGGTTTATGAACTAAAATATCTTCTGCCTTTACTAGAAAACAATGAATGACCTCAGCTAGTTACAGATCAGAATTTTCTGTTGTGCCAGTTGCCATGGAGACAGAACATTGGTTACTGCTTTTCTCAGTGGCTTCAGCTGGTTTTAAACAGTAAATCTTCTTGGGCTAACCATCATCCTTCTCATTTCTAAGTTTAGTTTTCATACAATTGAATTGTAAATGACCGAACTCTTCACAGTTGTAACATTTGTACGACCATCTCTCATTCTGAGGAGATCTGTTCAACTTTAAGTTTTCCTCAGGGTTCATTTGGGTCTGAGAACTAGGCCATGCTAATTTAGGTGAAGTACTACCCTGGCCTTCTTTTCCTGTTGTTTTGCTGAGATAATTTTTATTAAAGGGTTTCTTATGGTTGTCCCAGTTTTGCCTATTAAAATTTACCTCAGAGAACCTGTGGTTTTGAATTTCCTCAGAGAAGGAAAAAGGGGAATATGAGAGAATGTGTGGGTTGTTGGAAGATTTCCCTAATGTGAAGGTAGGACGGCTGCTACCTGACCCAGATAAATATAAAGACGTCAGAAGAAACCCTAGAATGGACAGTAGTGGTCTTCCTGCAAGGACAAGGTCACTTGAGGAAGGTGATTTGGCTGGATCCTTCCTTCAACCACCCAGCACCGGAGGGAGATTGGACCAGACACCCTTGCTGTGGGACAATATGTGTGATTCAGAATGCTCCCTTGAGGAAGCCCACAGATCAGGAACGTTTTAGGCCAGCCCCTCATTGAACCTTGTCAATTTACAGACGGAGCTGTCATCTTCACATTTTGAATAGTTGCCAGATCTTAGTTGTTTTGAACTGATAGGTTATAGTAGATCCACCCAATGTTAAATTAAATAAATCTGTTAAAGTTCACAAAGAGACTCATTCGTCATTTCCTGCCAAAAAGGAGGAACTGTCCCAAGTTTTTAACAAACCCAATCACAATTAGGTAAAAGGAATTATTTGAATCCAATCACATTAATTTTGGCAGATGTAAGCAAGCTATAAAACTTTATAGCACATGCATGTATGGCCACTGGCAAGTAAATCCCTCAGAATTTAGAATGGCAGGCTCATGGTACAATTTAATACAGTGGACCCTTGACTTACAGATGGCTTGACTTACAGACTTTTTGAGATACTGACTTCTCTGGCTGCAAAATTTAGGTTTGACTTGCAGACTGAAATTTGACTTACAGACCAGAAAAAAACCAAAATGGAACAAAAACGGCCTGTTACGGGATTAATTGGTTTTCAGTGCACTGTAGGTCAATGGAGACTTGACTTACAGACTTTTTGACTTGAGAACCGCCTTCCAATACGGATTAAGTTCTCAAGTCAAGACCCCACTGTACATGTTTAGTCAAATGTTCGCTTCACTGTTCACTGGGACTTACTTTTACCCCAGAATGCTTATACAGGATTGCAGCCTTGAAATCACAAGTGAGACTGGAAGAGTTATGGTTTTTGTTTTAGAACTATTAAGAGTGTGAGCGTAAGTTTAAATTTAAAAGAGCCAATAAAGACTGAATAAAGCAGATTCAGCTATTTTATTTTTGCCTATAAATTATATACAAACTATGGATTCGACTTTATATACAACAGTGTATTGCTAGATTGGTAGAAACAGTATAAACATTTTTGCTTTGCATAATATGAATGATTACTGGCTTCTCTGTATATTTCCTGAAAAACTAATGGGTGACCCGGGATCAAGAGGAACGTATTCCTTTTTACAGTTCAACATCTGTTACACTTTGAATATGACATTGGTCAGAATTGGGTTGAAATTTGGACCCCGGCAGAGGGAGAGAAAACAGGGAGCAACCAGATTGGAAGACTGTGTGTGTAAGACAAAGTATAACTTTGGAGAGCTGGAAGTAGTAGTATTATGTTGTCTACTACAGGACCCCTGTGTTTCTAGTATGTTCCACTTGTGTTTTGCTTGTGACAAAAACACCACAAATGTACTCTGATATAAATGGAAAAGAAGGTAGCACTCCTATACCCATCTTGTCTGGGAACAGCTCGACTGGACATGATGGAATCTTCTATGGTTGTTTATTTGAATCAGGCTGTAAACAGTGCAAGTGCCTGGATAGATCAGCAGTTTAGGTATCTGGATGTGGAGCCCGAAATTGGGAGTTCAGTTTTCCACTGTACATCCCAGAAAAGCCAGCCTGTGTGGCCTTGGGTAAACTGCAATCCCCAGTATGCCCCCAGAAGACGAGAATGGTAAATCACTTTTGAGTACTCTCTACCCAGAAAACCCTGGAAAGGGTTGCTGTCAGAATTGACTTGATGGCATATGATAGTTGTTATTATAAACTGTAGTACTCACCTCCTTGCAGCTCAAATAATGGTGTGTCCTTAATGCTATGTTCAAATCTTAGGCTGCTGTCACTTAGGTTTGGATAATACATATGTTGGGGTGTTATAATGAATCTTAGGATCAGATTAATAATTTCTTGCTATTATTACATAAATATTTGTTAGAATATCAAAGAGAGAAACTGCCAAGGATAATTTCCAGGCCTGAGCAGAACAAGGTGTATTAATGAGCAGCCATGATGAACAGGTGTGTAATAATGCTGAGTCATGATGACTCATGAATGCTGACTCATGCATGATACAATACCCAATGTGATTGGCCACAGGCAGATGTGTATATGTATATATGTATGAAACTGTACAGTAGATGTATCTTCCTGCTCTGTGATGAATGCTATCCTGTTATGCTGCCAGACTGCACTTCTGTATATATCCTGTAAATCCACGATTGGTGTTGGGAGATGCTGCCTGCGTGTGTGTGATTTATTTGGACCGCCTGGACTGGACATTCCTCTGTTGATTCTACTGATTTCCGCAATTTAGAGCTAACAAGGGGTTATGGGCCCAGCAACACGCCCTGTAATGCCTACCTTGTGCCAAGGAAGCTGGTGAGTACCAGAGGGTGCTTTAGAGGCATATGAAAGAAGTCCAGGAAGGTGAGAGTTCTGCTGTTGAGAGCCCAGGAGGGGAAAGAAAATGGAAGACTGAGAGAAAAGGCAGCAGCATGCAGTTGTTTGAGGCAGCAGGCATGGGAGGCTTTCCCTTAACAAGGCTGAATGAAAAGAATTATCAGATGTGGGCGATTAAAGCCGAAATGTTGTTAATAAGGGAGGACTTGTGGCAGATCGTTGACAATCCCCCGGCCGCGCTTGATGAAGAAAGGCTGAATGAAAGGGCTTTAACCACAACAATTCTATGCTTGGAGGACAGCCAGTTAATCCATGTGCATGGACTGACCTCGGCTAGAATTATTCTGGTACTGTTATTATAGTGTATCATGTGGCCAATGAGAAGTTATTCTACTTTGGAACACTAATTTAAGATTACTGATCCCCCAAATCTAAGTTGGGGGGCATAGTGTCCTTCAGAACTTCCTTCATAGCATCATTTCTGTTTAAATACTGTATAGGGATAATTTCTAGACTTCTTAGTAAGCTGTACTCTGACATCTCAGAGCTTGCCCTCCTCTTGAGAAAAACAAGAGACAGTGTCTCATTCTGACTTGTAGTTAAAGAGGCATCAGAAGTCTCAAAGGATGGAGATAACTGATGCCTCAGTGAACCACGAAACTAGGCAGAAAAAGAGACCAGGTCACTAATTCAGAAAAGAGTCAAAAGAAACAAAAGAACATTTGTGAGTAAAGATGGGGAAAATGTGTTATTATGGGCTTCCTATCAGATTTCTGTGGATTCCTTTTGAGTCTCTAACATATATCACACTGAAGGGGGTTTCTCATTCTACAAATGGCACACACAGGTATTTTCTGTGCAGAGATAAAGAGAAGCTAGCCAGTATGTTTTATTAGCTCTTTGAGAATATAATTACAGAAAACAGAAACACCATAGGAACCAATAAATGAAAACTGATGAGAACAGGTCGTTTTGGTACTGTCATATTTCTTGGTTACTGTTAATGTCCTTCTGTTGATTGGCCATTGGTTACTCATGTGTTCCATCAAATCATTTGGGGATCACTTCACTAGGAACTGGGAGGTTATTGAGAACAGCCAGTATGTTTTCTGCTGCTTCTTCCGTCATCATTTGCAGGGCCTGCACAGTAGCAGTTCCAATGTGAGGTGTTATAATATTTTTCAGTTGCAGTAGCATGTGGTCTCTGCAGTAAAGGCAAGACAGAATAATTAAAAGTCACCTGGCTCAGGCAGAACATCTAGAACCACTGTTGTGTGATGACAAGTGGAAAATAAAATGCATTAAGTGCTTCTGTGCTATACCATCAAAAAAGTACCTCTTGTTCTATACTTTTAAAGCTGGTGTTTCTGGGTTGACACAGTTTTATATGTTACTTATATTAACAGCAATGTTGCTCTGAAACACACTGCTCATCGCCAACAAGCTTGTCTGAATGGCAGCACTCAAACAGAAAGCCTAGAAGTGTGTTGTTTGTTCTCCAGAGTAACCAGATGAAAAAGAGGACAGGATTTATGTACCTTTAATAGCTGCTTGAAAGAGGAAGTACCAACAGGTGCAGCTTTTAATGCAAGCCACACCTCCTGAAATTTCTTCCTCCACACAATTATTAAAGGTACAGGAATCTTGTCCTATTATTTGATCTTCCTACCCATCTCATAGTCTGTGTATGTGAAATACATTGTGAAATGTCAGAAAAAATCCATATTTACTTACTTCAATTTCAGTTAAAATCCAGATTTACTTACTTCATATGATTACATCTGCATTCTTTATTTAGTTAAATAAAGAAATAACTTATATACAGTGGTGCCTCGACTTATGAACGTCCTGACATACGACCATTTCGAATTATGACCAGCTCTGGCCGCAAAATTTTGCTTCTATTTGTGACCGAAGCTTCGAGGTACAACCAGAAAAAAGGCAGAGAAAAAAGGTGGAGAATTCAAATTGCTAACTGTTGGTGGTGAAGAGGCTGCTTCTTTGTAGCTTTTTCACCCCAACGGTTAGAGTGAGTGTGATCAGAGAAGACTTTGGACTGCCTGGTAAGGTAAAGTGCTGCTTTCTGCTTTTTAAAACTGTTCTTGGTTGGTTTTGCAGCGTGGTTTTGGGCTGGGTGGTGGGACTATGTTTCTATGCTGTGATGGATCTTGCAGGGTTTGTTTGTTTTGTGGTCTCCCCCCATTTCTGATGGGTTTTGCATGGTTTGTTTGCTTTTTGGTTCCCCCCCCATTTCCGATGGGTCTTGCGGGGTTTTGCTTTCTGCTTTGCTTTTTTTGCATTTCCGATGGGTCTTGTGGGGTTTGTTTGCTTTCTACCTTGCTTTTTTTGCATTTCAGATGGGTCTTGCAGGGTTTGTTTGCTTTCTGCTTTGTTTTTTTTTTCTTTTGCATTTCTGATGGGTCTTGCACGGTTTGTTTGCTTTTGTCTTTCCTTTTTTTGTGTTTCCAAAGGGTCTTGCACGGTTTCTTTTCTTTTTTCTTTTTCCCTCATCCGGAACGGATTAATCGCGTTTCCGATGGGTCTTGCAGTGGTTTTTTTTTGTGTGTGTGATTTTTTCCCCTTTGGTTGGAACAGATTAACTGCATTTCAGTGCATTTCTATGGGAAATGGTGCTTTTACTTATGACTATTTCGAGTTACGACCGGAGTTCTGCAACCAACTAAGTTTGTAATTCGAGGCACCACTATATAAAGAAATATGTAAAGAAATGTTAAATAACTTGGACAGTTTTTTTAATATATAAGAATAAGATAGTGAAGTAAGGGCAAAGGAGTGAAAAGTAAGGAAAAGGGAGTGAAATGTCTCAAAGCAGAGATGAGCAGTTGAGGCCAAAGACAGATTGCCTAAGATACCATATTTCTGAACCTGAGTGCTATAGTGTCACTGGCTGATTTCTCCTTCATTTAGCTTTCCCCCAGCCAAGTCTGATTCTCTGGGGATTTCCAGTTGATTTATTAATTATTATTATTTATTTTATTTATTTAAAATATTTTTATCCCACTTTTCTTCTTAGAAAGAATCCAAGGTGGCGTAAATCATTAGAAAGACAATATGTGGAAGCTAAAAACAGTAGGTAGACAAATATTTAAAAAGGATTAAACAAGTATTACATTAAAAACAGTAAGAAAATCAATACTAAAAAACATTTAAAACAACAGAGCACAATCATTCATTTAAAACCCCCTCTCAGCCCACCAGTTATTAAGGGAAAGCTTGCCTTAACTGAACTCAGTTTAGTCTGAATTCAAATCCTCATATTTCATTCAGTCAGAGGGTACACTGAGAGTAATCAATTAAAAGAAATCCAAAAAGAACATCAGTGACAGTGGCCATGTTTGGGCATCACAATAAGCCAGGGAACCTGGGAAACCTTGACTTACTCAGAATGAGCAGCAAGATGATGTGTGCCATCGGGTTGCACCTACTCCTTGTCGTGCAAGACATCTAAACCAAGCAGCAGACCCAATACTAGCTTCTTCCTCTCCCCAACCAGCTAGACAAAGAAAAATCTAGGTTTTGTCCTACAGTTTCTATCTCTAGCTTGCCCAAGAGACAGCTTTTTGAGAATTTGGATGTCATACTCAACATATTTTAGAGGAAAGAGCTACACTTTGCTGAGCTGTTCCCATTGCAAGCAGGAGCAACTGGGCTAGGTACCATCAAGACACTACCCATTATCAATAAAACATAGTTCTCATTATTTCCTGGCTTATTGTCAACATCCATACATGATCAATATGCATCCTTTATAGAAGATACTGCAGACATTTTGATAGCATAGCTGCTTGTGATGACTGAACAGGAGGGCAGAGAAGATTAGGAAACAGAAGTCAGGCATAATCATCTATGCTTAATTCTTTTTTCTGAATTGGGATTTGACCAATGAATGTATTTATTTATTTATTTAATTTGTATATTGACAACTTAGTGACACCCACTATTCTGGGCAGTTTACAAAATAAACCAGTGAATCCTCACACCACCCACAATGAAGCAATATCATCTCTTTTTATTCCATGCTGATTTTATTAGGACTCAAGATCAACTAGGATGTTGTATTATTTTACCTTGGCAATGGTTCTGGGTTTGTCACATCTAATGCTGCAGCCCGAATAACACTCCTTTGGAGTGCTTCTGCCAAGGCATCTTGATCAACTACTGCACCTAATGCACAGGAAACCAAGATAAGGGATCCATAAAGAAATTATAAGACTTACACCCCAATTCTATACACGCAGCACATTTACTCCCAACTATGCATGCCCAGGATTAAAACCACAGAACACTCTTCAGATAATTAAAGAAGCCCCTAACAGGGGGCCAGAAAGGTGCGGATAGGAACACTCTAAGCTAAGGGCAGGCTGCTTCGCTCCAGCAAAGATGTTGTCAGATCTCCAACTTCGGGAGCGAACCACAGCAGGCCAAACAGTGGGCCAAATTCCTATGCCGTTAACCTCTTACAGTAATAGTGTCTAATTATAGTGATATTTTCATATATTTTCATATATTAGTATAAACTCACACGTGGTGGCGCTGCGGGCTAAACCACAGAAGCCTGTGCTGCAGGGTCAGAAGACCAAGCAGTCGTAAGATCGAATCCACGCGACAGAATGAGCGCCCGTCGCTTGTCCCAGCTCCTGCCGACCTAGCGGTTCGAAAGCATGCAAATGCAAGTAGATCAATAGGGACCACCTCGGTGGGAAGGTAACAGCGTTCCGTGTCTAAGTCGCACTGGCCAGGTGACCACGGAAGATTGTCTTCGGACAAAACGCTGGCTCTATGGCTTGGAAACGGGGATGAGCACCCCCCCTAGAGTCGAACACGACTGGACAAAAATAGTATAAACTCACATATGTAAATTTAATGCAAAAATGTCCTCCTTTTTTGTGAAGAATGTTGTCCTTTTTATTGTTCCATGTCTTCCTTTTTGGTGATGGAAGTAATGGCCACCTTAACTATCTCTTAGTCTAGACTCACTATGTTCAAATAAACGGAAACTGCAGTCAGAGTAGTCTTGAGTTATCTCCAGCACTGCTAGTCTGGAAGTGCAGAATTCAGCACAGCCTCAACTGGTCTTCAGCTACCTTGGTTAAGGACAGTGCCTTTAGAGTGCTTCTTATGTTACATTTGACTTGATACACAATTTATACTATAATAGGATTCAGCAAGAGTTATAACCGGCCTTTGTGTATAAAAATTGTAGCTTCTACTGATATTTTTCCTGCTGGCAAAATATATTCACCCAGAGTATTAAGAACTGTGAATACTATGACAACAAAAGCAGCTGTTTATATACATGTGCGCATTTTGCAACAATTGTCCTATGTTTTGTATTTGGGAAAGTAATACTGTATACAAATAAACCCAACTCTAGTAACACATGGTGCTGGCTGAATTGATCACATATTAAAGCCAAGGATATTAAAATATACAGAAATCTTACAATATTACTTACTTTGTTGTAAGCCGCCCAGAGTAGACGCTGTCTAGATGGGCGGGATATAAATTTAATAAATAAATAAATAAATAAAATATCATCATAAGACAAGTTTACTCAGAAAAAATGAGACTTGAAGTAAACATACATAGCCTTGGTGTTCTAACTCATGAACAACAGTTGGAAACCATTGGCTAAAATCCTCTTTTGAAAATTGACACAAACAAGGGCAATTGCTGGGACAGAATTTGGACTACTCCTGTTTAAGCTATCACACCCCTACCTCTGCTGATGTTGATAAGAGTAGCAGTGGGTTTCATCAGCTCAAGCTCCCTTTTCCCAATGAGCTTGTGAGTCTCAGGCGCCAAATTCACAACTAGCATCACAAAATCAGACTGCTGGAGTAAGTCTTGCATGTCTTTACAATAAATTGCACCAACTGCTTGTTCTTCTTCCTCTTTTCTGAAAGGAAATGCAATAAATGTAATTACTGATTGTGCCGGTGACTCTGCGAAAGGGGAGATGTGAACTTGTTGAAGATTTCTTCCCATGGAAACCTATATTTTATGCCAGAAGACAACGTTCTGCATCTCTCTCCTAATTCCTGCTAAGTTCACCAGAGAGGTCAACAGCTGGTTTGCTGCTTGCATGTGCTGCAAGCTCTTGTACTCTTTCAAAAACTGGCAGCCACAGGGTATTGTTTGTAAGCTTTAGAAATGAAGGAAGCCTGAATGTATTTCTGGCTTGCAGTGATTTTTATAAAAGCAACAGCTTTGGGGAAAAAATATTCTAGTATAATATTTTGCTTGGCTATCATAACTTCTGTGTTGACTACGGTGTCTCAAGATAAGGAGAAATGTCTGTGTACTTTTTTGGTTTTGTTTCTGCTCCTGTAGAGCAAGGCCGTAAGAAAGGACTAAAAACCTGGAACGTATATAAGTGGCTGGAATCCTTTTGGTGTTTGTGTAATGCTTGGTGAACTTGCCATGGCTAATTACAGATAATTTATGAGGTGCCAAGGCCTGTCTCAGCCATGTACCTGATCATGCAACCAAGACGTACCCCACCACCTTGTCAATTACCTGCAACTAGCTGCAGAAGTTAAACAAACTTCATACAAAAACCTATAAGATAAATAAATAAACACATATATTTTAAAGAAAGAGAATACTGTACCGTAACGCCCTGTTTCTCATGTTTTCTGTTTTTGTGTGTTACACTGGGCTGTGTCTCAAAGAGTAGTTAACATGGAGCAGGACAAAAATATGAGAAACTCTGGTTTACAATTTTGAAGACTCTGTGCGTGCGTGCGTGCGTGCGTGCGTGCGTGCGTGCGTGCGTGCGTGTGGTAAAACAAACAGGACATTACTGCATCACTGAAAAATCACTAGTGTTTTAAATTTAAACTTGCAAGTACTAACAGAATCACCCTTTTGGCTTCTTTTCCAACTCACCTTGATCTTCCCAAGATGAATGCAAAAAGTGGCTCAGAGTTTCAACAACTGGTGTTTTATTCTTTAAGTATGCTGTCTCATCAGTCAGCCTCCATGATCAGATGCAGACTGAAACACTGCACAGAGCTGAAGTTTTGAAAATCTGCTTCGAATAGAGTCTGACAAAACTTACATGACTATAATATACATTGGCATCACACATTTACCTGCGGTTCCTGTTGTGATAGAGAATATTCATGTTAAAAGCTTTTGCTCTCTTGGCCACTTTATAGCCAATGCTGCCCATCCCAATGATACCAAGGGTGGCCCCAGTGACTTCCACTCCTAGCCAGTTAACAGCAAAATGTGTTGTATCTGGAGATGTTGCAATGGAACAACCTAACAAATGAAAACAGAAACCAGGAACAGGAGTTATGACACATTTTCAGGCATCATGACTTTTTACAGTCGTCCTTGAAAAGCTGGATCCAGTGTTCTATCCAGTGTAGAAAATTCTCCACTAGACCCATTTCTCCTTTGAATTCCTACTAGAGATGGGGGTATTTGTATATGAATACACATGTCCCCCCACAAGTGCAGATAATGAGGGTCCAGCCCTCGTTATCTGCACTCACCATTCCACTGCTGCCATGACCTCCACAGTGCCTTCCTATCACTCCATTGCTTGCAATGAATTAGCCAAGGCGGGATGCATCATGAGCAACGGAGAGATAGGAAGGCAGCCTGGAGCTCGTGGCAGTGGCGGAATGGTGAGTGGTCGGTCTGGTCCCAGGGGACCGGACTCTCATTATCTGCATGTGGGGGAGATATTCATATTTTTATATGAATATGAATACCCCCATCTCTAATTCCTACCATAAGCACATGAGAATATGGACCACAGCTTACTATAGGTAACTGATTCAACAATTTATCATCTGGTCAAAGGATCTTAAATGGCAGGACTAGAAAGCCACTTGTCAAAGAATCTGAGGAGCTATAAATTGTGAACTAGAATTTGGTCTGACTCAATTTAGGTTTAGATTCAGTTTAAAGTTCAATTAAAAATTAAAATATAAAACAAAGGTAGCCCACTAGTCCAGTGGTTCTTAACCTTTGTTACTCGGATGCTTTTGAACTGCAACTCCCAGAAACCCCAGTCAGGACAGCTGGTGGTGAAGGCTTCCGGGAGTTGCAGTCCAAAACTCCTGAGTAACCCAAGGTTAAGAACCAGTGCATTAGTCCATTAAACCAAACCAAAACCACAACCCACAGACAGACAATAGGTAGATTTCAGACTGAATGGCTCATTAGTATATATGCACGTGTCACATTACACTTAGCAGTGCAGATTTGGGTGAAGAGAAAATAGTGAGTCTTCATTTCTGAAAACACAAGGCTGGCTGCAATTCAGAGATTCACCTTTTGCCTTAGAAAAAACTTATAGCTTATGCAGGAAGCATAAACAAAGCTAGAGAATAAATTTTAAGTATTGCATTATGTAAAAAAGGTATTTATGTGTTGTGAGAAGTAGGCCAACGTTTGGATTAATCCATAATTTTAGTCACCATATTTTGCCTACATATGTTCTGTTGTCCTCTTGTTATGTGCTAGAGCAATGATTCTCAACCTTGGGTAAACCAGGTGTTCTTGGACTGCAACTAACAGAAACCTTGGACAGCACAGCTGGTGATTAAGGTTTCTGGGAATTGCAATCCAAAACACCTGGTGCTAGCTAAGGCTGGGAACCACTGGACTAGAGAATAAAGGCATTCTTTTAATTGCAACCAAAATTGGCGCTGTGCCCATAGAATCAGCAGTACCCATAAATGAACAGGAGACTTTTGGAAGGGGTCATGCCAGAATGTTCCCATTGACAATCATGGAACCAGATTTGGAAAACACACTCAAATCTCTGTTGATCTAAAAAAAAAAGAGTCATCTACACCAGTAGTTTCCAAACTTGCGTAACCCATGTGTTCTTTGACTAAAATTCCAAGAAGCCTTCACCACCAACTGTGCTGCCTGGGGTTTCTGGGAGCTGCACAGAGAGAATCATGAAATGGTAATTACTATATGATAACTCCCCTTCATGGATTGCTGCCTTTTCATGGTGAAGAGGTGGCAAGAAAACACAGAAGAATTATACCAGAAAGATCTGGATGTCCCGGACAACCCAGATACTGTGGTTGCTGACGTTGAGCCAGACATCCTGGAGAATGAAGTCAAGTGGGCCTTAGAAAGCATGGCTAACAACAAGGCCAGTGGAGGTGATGGTATTCCAGTTGAACTATTTAAAATCTTAAAAGAAGACACTATTAAGGTGCTACACTCAATATGCCAGGAAGTTTGGAAAACTCAGCAGTGGCCAGAGGACTGGAAAAGTTCGGTCTACATCCCAGTCCCAAAGAAGGGCAGTGCCAAAGAATGCTTCAAGCTTCAGAACACGGCCAAAGAGCCCGAAAAACCCACAACCATCAGATCCCGGCTGTGAAAGCCTTCGAGAATACAATGCTCCAAATACTGCACAATTGCACTCATTTCACACGCTAGCAAGGTTATGCTCAAAATCTTACAAGGTAGGCTTCAGCAGTATATGGACCGAGAACTCCAAGAAGTACAAGCTGGATTTCGAAAGGGCAGAGGAACTCGAGACCAAATTGCTAACATGGGCTGGATTATGGAGAAAGCCAGAGAGTTCCAGAAAAACATCTACTTCTGCTTCATTGATTATGCAAAAGCCTTTGACTGTGTGGACCACAGCAAACTATGGCAAGTCCTTAAAGAAACGGGGCTGCCTGATCACCTTATCTACCTCCTGAGAAACCTATATGTGGGACAGGAAGCAACAGTTAGAACTGGATATGGAACAACTGACTGGTTCAAAATTGGGAAAGGAGTACGACAAGGCTGTATATTTTCCCCCTGCTTATTTAACTTATATGCAGAATACATAATGCAAAAGGCAGGACTGGAGGAATCCCAAGCCAGAATTAAGATTGCCGGAAGAAATATCAACAACCTCAGATATGCAGATTATACCACTCTGATGGCAGAAAGTGAGGAGGAATGAAAGAACCTCTTAATGGGGGTGAAAGAGGAGAGAGCAAAAATGGTCTGAAGCTCAACATCAACAAAACTAAGATCATGGCCACTGGTCCCATCACCTCCTGGCAAATAGAAGGGGAAGATATGGAGGCAGTGACAGAGTTTACCTTCTTGGGCTCCATGATCACTGCAGATGGTGACAGCAGCCTCAAAATTAAAAGACTCCTGCTTCTTGGGAGGGAAGTGATGACAAACCTAGACAGCATCTTAAAAAGCACAGACATCACCTTGTTGACAAAGGTCTTTGTAGACAAAGCTATGGTTTTTCCAGCAGTGATGTATGGAAGTGAGAGCTGGACCATAAAGAAGGCTGACCACTGCAGAATTGATGCTTTTGAATTGAGGTGCTGGAGGAGGCTCTTGGGAGTCCCTTGGACTGCAAGGAGAACAAACCTATCCATTCTGAAGGAAATCAACCCCGAGTGTTCACTGGAAGGACAGATCCTGAAGCTGAGGCTCCAACACTTTAGCCATCTGATGGGACAAGAAGACTCCCTAGAAAAGACCCTGATGTTGGGAAAGTGTGAAGGCAAGAGGAGAAGGGAACGACAGAGGACGAGATGGTTGGATAGTGTCACCTAAGCTACCAACATGAATTTGACCAAACTTTGGGAGGCAGTGAAAGACAGGAGGGCCTGGCATGCTCTGGTCCATGGGGTCACGAATAGTCAGACACGATTTAACGACTAAACAACATGATAACTGGTTGCCTTAGCCACAGTAGCAATCACTCCATTAAACCAATGTGAAATTAATAAATTGGCACTTAAGGCATGTTCCATTGATTCAGTAGGGCTACTCTAATTGGAACAAACAATAGGATTAAGGCCTCAGTGTTTGCTATGCTTTTATTTTCTTCTCTTTTTCATTTTTAAAGTGCTAGCTGTGCATGTCATCAGAAATATTCTGTTGGAATAATGGAAGCATATAAAATCCATAATATGTTCAGCATAATCACACACATGTCTCAAACACTCTACAGTATATTGCTGTCTTTAAAATAAAGCGGCAGGATGCATACGGGGTGAGGTAGTGAGGTCATGATGAATTCTGACAACCAACGCTTGAAATACCTGGATGCTGGAGAAATAACTTAAAAATAAAGTCACTTTACCTTCCACTAGTCGTCTTGCAGATGCCAGCATTAAGGCCATGCCAATGTCTGCTGTGGAATCAGAAACAGCATTTGGAGTATTGGTTACTTTTACTCCATAGCTAGAAATCAGCTTTAAATCCAAGTGATCCACTCCTACCCCTGAGTTTCCAACTACCTTTAGCCTGGGCAGGCTTTCAAGAAGCTCCCGGTCAATGACTGGTCTGCACTCAAATACAAAAATAGACTTGATCTTTTCACAAAGCTGTTCTTTCTTTTTATGAAACTCGTTCATAGTGATGAGATCAAAGTGTTTCTTAAGGAATTCCACATGGCTTTCTGGTATACCAAATGCACCTCCTATGTCAAAAACCAAAGCACCAGGCAGTTCTTTTTCTCCCATAATCTGAAAAAGAGGATGATAAGAAACGTCCCCATTTGTAAATAAGGAGGTATCTTAATTTCATACGCATCTAATACAGACAACACATCTTAGAAGCAGGCATTCTTTAAATGAGAAAAAGATCTTTGATTTTTCTAGCACAAGCTTTCTTACCTCCCTGCCTTGCAAATTAGCTTGCTTTATTTTGTGTCTGGTCAGAAATCTGATTGCTCAGATACAAAACAGTGTAGAATCAGGAGTAGACATGAATAAGACTACAATGTTAGTCTGCTTAGTCTTTCTGTATTTATTTTCAACTGTATGATACAACAGTGTTTGCTAAAATATCATCCATCACACCACGATTCTTTTATGCTTTGAATTGTAATTTATTATATTGTATTTGTTTTCACTGCACTTTATGATATTTGATCTATGCCGCAATTGTATTTATAATGTATTATTTTGTTATTCTGTTATTTGATTATCTGTCATAAACCGCCCAGAGTGGCTTGGCTGCCAGATAGGCAGGTAAACTACCCAAAGTGGCTTGGCTGCCAGATGGGCAGTATATAAAATTTAATAATACAGTAATCCTAATAATCATCGTAATAATTTTCACTTAAGAGCTTGAGCAAGCATTTTACAGACTTTAAATAAAACACTTAAGATTTGATCTTTCCCTGTTTTCATGGGTCTACCAATTGTGTATATAAAATTTAATAATACAGTTATCCTAATAATCATCATAATGATTTTAAGAGCTTGAGCAAGCATTTAACTGACTTTAAATAAAACCCTTAACAAGATTTGATATTTCCCTGTTTTCATGGGTCTACCAATTGTAGAAGTATCATGACTGCAAGAAAAAACAACTGTCATAATCTCCAGCTATCATGAATAACATGAATACTGTAGTCCTCTCTTTGGGGCAAGAAGGAAACTAATTTGCAAGACAGCCAGTAATAGAAATGTTGCACCTGGATTAATTAGGGCTTTGGGATTCACTGTGTCATCCTTTATCTTTCGAAATTAGAACAACCCACAGAAGTTTTAATAAATATATAATGGCCTATTCCTTTTCCAGAAAAATAAATTTGTGTTAAAATTGCACGTTTTGATTAAAAATTTTGTGGTTTGTTTTATATATATATAAACACAAAATTTTTAATCAAGATGTGCAATATAGCTATGCCACTTTTCTCTCCATCAGGAACCCAAGGCAGCTCGCAAAAGCTAAAACTATACAACAGTCAACAGTTGTCATATACCATATAAATACCCTGTTTAAAAACAAACATAGATCAAGATTAAAACTGGGAATAAAAACAACTGTGCAACATTTTAAAAAGACACTTTAAAAACATCTAATAAATAAATAATAATTTTGTCTGTCCTAAGACTAGATACACTGTATGATGATCAGAAAAGGAAAATGTAAAATGGAATTAACAAGCGCCTTGATTACTACTTTGTCTGCTAGCAATATTGGACTTTCCTGAAATAAATATGCGTGATTGTTAGTCACATGCAGTTTATGGCAACCTTAACAGGGTTTTTAATGCAAATGAGATGTTTAAGGAGTGGTTTTTTTCAGTGAATTTCTATGGGCGAGCAGAGATTCAGAGCTGGATCTCCTGAATCTTTGTTCGTCATTCTATCCATTATGCTACACTGGCTCTTCAAGTATAATATAAATGTATGATAGAAATAGCAACTGTAGGCCCTAAATGAGATGTTTAAGGAGTGGTTTTTCCAATGCCACCCTTCAGTGAATTTCTATGGGCGAGCAGAGATTCAGAGCTGGATCTCCTGAATCTTTGTTCGTCATCCTATCCATTATGCTACACTGGCTCTTCAAGTATAATATAAATGTATGATAGAAATAGCAACTGTAGGCCCTCAAAACCTTTTTCAAGAAGGCTAAAAACCTTCTGGAACAGTTTTTTGGGCAGGATGGAGGGCTGAAGAGAAAAAAAGGCTTGATGGGACCAGCAGATACCTGCTACCATAATGCTGGCTCTAAATCAGATATTTGCAAGCAATTGATAGGACAATAGCTGTTAGGTGGATAGCTGTTACTAAAGGTCAAAAAACATAGTACAGTATGTCGTTATGTTCCGGTGTTCACTGAAAGCAGTTCATTGTGATGCCATGTACTGTTCCCCACTTAATTCTTTTACTTCATCATAGTCTGCACCTGCCCCCATACTATACAGCAATCAATCCTGTCAGAGGGCCATTTTGATTTGCAGGTTGGGACTCAAAAAACATAGTATGTCGTTATGTTCCAGTGTTCACTGAAAGTAGTTCATTGTGATGCCATGTACAGTATGTCGTTATGTTCCAGTGTTCACTGAAAGTAGTTCATTGTGATGCCATGTACTGTTTCCCACTTAATTCGTTTACTTCATCATAGTCTGCCCCTGCCCCCATACTATACAGCAATCAGTCCTGTCAGAGGGCCATTTTGATTTGCAGGTCGGGACTAGCAGATCAGGAGTCCCAAACAGAGTGTGATGCCATGTACAGTATGTCGTTATGTTCCAGTGTTCACTGAAAGTAGTTCATTGTGATGCCATGTACTGTTTCCCACTTAATTCGTTTACTTCATCATAGTCTGCCCCTGCCCCCATACTATACAGCAATCAGTCCTGTCAGAGGGCCATTTTGATTTGCAGGTCGGGACTAGCAGATCAGGAGTCCCAAACAGAGCAGAGGGTATTTGTATGCAAATATCCCCACACAGGTGGAAATAATGAGGGTCTGGCCCCATATCCACTCATGATTTCACTGCTGCCGCCTGCTCAGCGGGGGCTTCCTACTGTTCTCCGCAATTGATTACACACTCCTGGCAGGAGGCGGGATGACAAGCCTCTCTGCTAGGTCACAGGGTGGCTAATCCAGTGCAGAGAATGGTGCGATAGGAAGCCTCTGCAGAGCTGGCATCAACAGCAAAATCGTGAGTGGACAGTCTGGCCCCATAGGGCCAGACCCTTGTTATTTCCACCTGTGCGGGAATATTTGTATGGCTGGACAGTGTCTGCGAAGCGATCAACATGAATTTGGCTGAACTCCGGGAGGCAGTGGAAGATAGGGGGGCCTGGCGTGCTCTGGTCCATGGGGTCACGAAAAGTCAGACACGACTAAACGACGACGACCGCCATTTCAAGTCCCAACCTCTTCCCTAAAGTGGCTGAAGAGAAAATACCATTCCTGCTGTTCTTTTTCCCATTCTCACTAGACTGCAAGTATATACAGTGGACCCTCAACTTACAGACGGCTCGACTTACAGACTTTTCGAGTTACAGACTTCTCTGGCCGCAAAATTTAGGTTCGACTTGTAGCCAGAGAATCAACCTACAGACCAGAAGACGACCCCCATTTCAAGTCCCAACCTCTTCCCTAAAGTGGCTGAATAGAAAATACCATTCCTGCTGTTCTTACTTTTTTCCCATTCTCACTAGACTGCAAGTATATACAGTGGACCCTCAACTTACAGACGGCTCGACTTACAGACTTTTCGAGTTACAGACTTCTCTGGCCGCAAAATTTAGGTTCGACTTGTAGCCAGAGAATCAACCTACAGACCAGAAAAAAGCCAAAATGGAACAAAAACGGCCAGTTACAGGATTAATCGGTTTTCAATGCATTGTAGGTCAATGGAGACTCAACCTACAGACTTTTCGACCTGCTGCCACCGTTCCAATACGGATTAATTCCGTAAGTACAGGCTCCACTGTAAGTAGTACAGTTGGTCTGTGCTATCCATGGGGGATCATTTCCAAGTCCCCCCCACAATGTCAAAAAACACTGAAGTATTGAACACTATACATTGCATGGTCTACTGGCTCCCTCTAGTGGCCATACAACCTGTATTTCTGAGGGTTTTTATTTAATACAGTATTTCCAGGCAGCCGATAATGAATCAGCAGATATTGATCCCGTGGATAGCAGGGTCCTACTGTATTTATATTCATCCCGAGGCTACCACAGAGCTGGTTTTCCAGGTGTTTTGGATTTCCAAGCACCTCTTCCAACATGGGCAATAAAAAGGGAATGGTGGATTTGCAGTCCAGAACATCTGGAGGGCCCAATGATCTCTCTACCCATGGCCAATTGCTGACTTGTAAGATTGTTACCCTGTTTATTCCTCTTTGCTTACTGAATAACCTTTTGCCACAGGTGACATTTCCAGAATCCTTTAGGTAAGTTGCATCTCCTACAAACAAGGCAGGTGGACACAAAGTTTTTTTTTTTTACATATTATTAGCATGCATTTTATTAAACCATTAACATGGGCAGAGTTTTGCAACACTTCCCCCCCCCCTTGATACTAACCTTGTCCTGACAAGCACTTGGTGCTGCTCCTCCAAAGCTCTTTTGGCCAGTTCTGAAGCTCTTCTGAATGTAAGGAATGCAATTTTTTGGCCACTTACAGCCAGGTCTGTCAGCCAGTTTCACCCAGACAGCAGGCAGCTGAGCAGACTGTGCCAAGGAGATGGCTTTCGCTCTGAACATACTCCCACTGTTTTAGGTGCTAAAACACAATGTGTTGGAAACACCTGCCCAATAAATGGCAATTCCAGTTTGAGTTCCTGCTGTGAACATTTAATAGACATTATAGGTTTTAGCATACGGAGTCTATAAACACCATGTCTCTCTGTTTACTGCATTTACTATACTTTATTTCATAGAACAGAATACATAGATTGTACAAATATACATTTTGGCTTCTTCTTCATGAAGAAGCCAGCAGAATAAATTTTTACGTTTCTGACAGACTCGAACAAAAGGACTCCATGAAGATTGATAACATTTGTTCTACAACTAGCTTACCAGTTCTAACAGGGTATTGGATGAAATTCACAATACTATGTATAGCTACCTCGGCATGTCCTCCCTTTTGTTTCATGCTTCAAAGGTCCCTTAGCTGGCATGATTCTGCCTAAGTAAAAATTAATTACAAAAGACAGCTATTTCCTATGTTGTATTAGTTCATACAGCAGAAAATACATTTAAAATATTCCTCATGTTGTACTCAATCTCCAGTTGTTTATTAGCAGTCTTTATATAGTGGTGGCACTGCGGGTTAAACTGCAGAAGCCTTTGTGCTGCAGGGTCAGAAGACCAGCAGTCATAAGATTGAATCCACACGACGGAGTGAGCTCCCGTCGCTTGTCCCAGCTCCTGCCAACCTAGTAGTTTGAAAGCATGTAAAAATGCAAGTACAGTAGATAAATAGATACCACCACGGTGGGAAGGAAACGGTGTTCCGTGTCTAGTCATGCTGGCCATGGAAACTATGGACAAATGCTAGCTCTGTGGCTTGGAGACGGGGATGAGCACCGCGCCCTAGAGTCAGACACGACTGGACTAAATGTCAAGGGGAACCTTTATCTTTACCTATATAAGCTGCCCCCCTCCCATATCCACCACAGGTAATAGTCATGTCTTCTAGCAAGGAAGATTTCCTTAAAATGGAGTTTTTGTCCCTTAAACTGAGATTGCTCATATATTGTGATTATCATGGGTGCAGGTTCCGAATTTATTGCGGATTTTTACTGAAATGTTTAATGAAGTAGCCATGTTTACTGTGCAAAAACATTATGGAAAACAGTCATTATCATCATCATCATTATCTTTATTATTAAAACTTATATACTGCCTTATAGTACTAGAGCACCCTCTGGGCACTTTATGGCATAATTATACAAGGAACAGTTTGCCCCTCAGCGACCTGGGTACTCATTTTACCGACATTTTACTGAGCTATCAGTCACAACTCCCCATGTAATAGATTCAGAGTGTGCAAATAAAGGTATACCTCTAGGCAACTGGAGAACCAATGCTGTGGAATTAAGCGGAGAACAATACATGACATTACAATTAATTGCCATGAGTGAACACTGAAACATACAGCATATATTTTGACCTTTTGACTATCCGATTCAGTTGTCACATGTAGAAATAGTATACATGGATATACACTAACCTTGCAATTGTAAGCAAAATTTTTCATAATTGTGTCTATTAGATGTCTGGAGCTTAAGATTGCATGTTTAACTACCCAGCAAAACTGAAATGCAGTCTCCATCTCCTGCCCTGGGCATTCAGTATGTACACACAGCAAAACAAAAACTGCAGCAGTTCAGAAACAATTGATGGTGATAAGCAACAGACATTGAATAACCAGTTAAATATTAATGCATCAATGTATAAGCCAAAATACTATATATATACAAGAAAAGGCTCTCTCTCTCCCCCCCCCCCAGTAGTAAAAAGTTTGGCCAGTATTGTATTACTAGTCCAAACTAGAGTACTGTACACTCATTTACGTATTCAATGGAATTTCTGTAAGGTGTTGACTCACTATTTGGTAACTGACCAAATGAATCCACCCTCTGGTTGAGACTAGCAATAGGATACTGGTCATTGAGTGTATTTTGATTGGTAACATTATTTCCACTCTCAAACAAAGAGCAGCAACAAGAAGGGAAGAGTACAGTTTTGCTTCTGACTGGTTTTATTCTGTCTGGAAAAAGTGATTTTTATTTTAAAACATTTTAACTCTTGTCTTGAAAATGCAAATATTATTTTTCATCTCCACATTACAAGTAAAGGGCTTGTGGTTAAAAACTCTATACTATACTTTGTTATTCTTCTCCTCCTCGTTTCTCTCCTATTGTTTTTTTCAAATGTGCTTGATTGTGTTGTAAACATTAAAGAGGGGTGAAATGAGAGGAAATGACTCAAAATAATCAGGGATGACCTATGGAAGAGTATGTATTCATTGAATGATGTCTTTAACGTAAGAAACCTCACTGCTAATATAACACTGCCACCTGATGGATAATTGCAGTAAATGAAAGTAAGTGTGACATCAGGTGTGTTTACATAGACATTTTTAAGCTGTCAGCCATGCTAGTAGGTAAAATAAAAGTAAATAAATTCATTGCTAAGCAATCGTTTTTGCTTGTAAGCAGTAGTTGCTGCTTTATAGCAAGTTAAATAAACAAAAACTTAAAATATAAATAGCCATTGTATTATCATACCCTTAAGCTGCAAAAGACATAATGGAGTGCTTATTCTAAACAGAAATGAGGCATTGAAACCTCAACAATGGACTTTAAATTGTAACCTGGCTGAATTGGGTGATAAACTTATGTATTGATTTTGTGTGTGTCTAAACATGCGTAGAAGCTTAGACATGCTTTTCATGTTATATTTTCTTATTATGTGAACTTTGATGTTTCTTCATGTATTTTAAAGAAAAGTTTTGCAGCTTCTAAAGTTTATAATGTTTTGGCTTTTCAGTGCAATATTATAGATATTATAGCTCTGCCCTTTTAGGGTATAAGGTCCTAAGGATTTAAGAATGTAACTTAAAACATTCTTTTTTGTATGTACTGTATTCTTGATTCTGTATTTTCTGACTTAAGTACTTGCCTAAAGCTTTACTTCAGTTTTCATATATTTTGAATTGCATGCCCACAGTTTTACAAAACTGTAAGACTTTTGAATTTTAAGTATTTGTGCCTACACTTTTTCACCACAATTGTTATGACTATCTTCAATATATTTAGAACTTGCTGTCCTTGAAATATGGATCCTAGAAGCCATATAGAAGAATAAAAGGCCTGCAGAGTCTTTAAAAGCTTTTGGAGTGGCCTGGAATTATTGCAGCAAAGAAAATACTTATGCTTAGATACCCAAATGAATTTTGAAATGCTCATCAACAATTGTCTGATTTCATTCCAGGATCAACCCTTTACTAAGATAATGTCAGCTATGACAAACCATTGGCTTCTGTTCTTTGCCTAAGAATTCTGTAAATCTCTTCCTAGGGAAGTAGAGTGTCCTATTTAGGGGTCTGACAGGTTGTTGCATATCATCATGGCTTTTCAAACTTTGGATGCAAGTGACTCTGAACAATGATGTTCTGTTGAGTCCAGAGCATTCTCCAAGGTTTTTCGGCAAAGAAGTTCTTTTCCTTCCTGCTCTTTTTTTTTCATATACAGTATTTTATCCTGAATCACCAGCTGTAACAATCTGCACTTTCATTTCTCCTTGGGTGACCAAAGAAATCTACACTGTGTGTGTGTTTTAGGATTTTTTGGTCTTTATCCGTGTTTTTTAGTATTTCTTTGTTGGCCACATTCTCTAGCTAATAAATTCTTTAACATCCTACTCTAGAGCCCGCTACTGTATTATTAATCTTCGATTAAAGGATAGAAAAGGCACTCTGCCTAATCCGGCCCCTACGGATCTCAGTTCCTCCCTGAGAACGAGTGGTAGTGGAAGTGAAGGGATCTGAGCTATCCATTCTTAATACTGCACTCTTTTCCTAAATACAGAAGGTGGGGGTGGGGGGGAAAGAGAGAGATAAAAAACCCAGCAACCTCTGAATAAACTTTCGACGGGCAAGTTCTCCCAACGACTTACTTGCTCCAAGTTTTTTTTTCGTGATTACATAAAAAGGCAATAATTTTCAAAACTAGATCCGGCCTCAGCCACGCTTTGTAGGCTGCTCCACGTATTTATTTGGTTGCCTCCCGCCTTCCCTTGGCATTACTGAGTGTATACCTGTCCGAATTGAGTCTCCCAATGTTCTCTTCTGTAGAACGATCGTTCCCTTCCCGTCTCCGTTTTCCCCCCCACCAAGTGTTGTACAATTCCGGAAATGCCCAAACAAAGGACGGGCAAAGCGACTTCACTTCTCGACACTGTCGTAACGACAGGGGGATATCGAGCAGGCTGCGTCCGTGAAGCATCGCTTCTCCTCTCGTTTGGTTCAGCCGCGGTCGTGCACGTGTCCTTAACGGCGATTGTGGGGGGCCGTTAAATCCTTTGCACGTTTGCCTTCGGTGAGTGGATATTTGGGGGGGGGGTGTTTATCAAAGCGGGACATAGGATGTGGTGGGACACAAGATTGTATGAGTCAAGGAGGTTAGATAGGTAGTGAATGGCAGATTCAAGACTTGTCCTTGAGCGGTGTATCGAGTGTTTCCCAACGGTTTATTAATAACATTTGCATTATTTCTTGTTCCAGCGTGCAGTAGTCCCATCGGCGCTGTCTTGATTTTTTTTCCTCGAAGGTACTTTTTTCCTGAGATTTATTTTTCCTTTCCGTGGCAGAAGGCTTGAATAATCAAGTGGGAATACAGTAGAGTAACTACCCAGAGTCGGAATTCAGAGAGTTAGGTCTAAGATAAGAAAAAAAAATTTCCTAAACACTAGAGATGTGCTTGTTTGTGTTTTTTGGACTACAGTGCCCAGAATTCTCCAAGCTGTATTCTGGGTGTTGTAATCCAAAAACATCAACAGACACACCTGTGGTGAGCTTCGTTTGGTGCTGAGCTGATATTAACCTTGGTGCCAGGTGTGTAGCATTTGAGGTACAAGACATTACAATTAAAAAGGGCCAGGCCACTGTGTTTCTCATGTTCCACTTCATTTCTGAAAGCTGAATGACACAGATGAGAGCCTCTATAAATAATCCTTATATTTGGGTGTGATTATGTGGTTCTTTTGGGTTCTGGATCCAAAAACAAATGTTAAATTTTTCCAGAGCAGTGTCTTAAATTGTTCCCAGAATTGGTCCAGGAACCAGTGTGTTACGTCAACATGGCAGATGGGGCAGACCAAGTATTGAGCTGTTATTTTTTTAAAAAATTAAATAAATACAGTTGCATTTCTTATACAATAAATTTTGTATTTTTGTATGATTTGTCATAAATAACTAATTTAATTGATAATATCATTGTCATTTGTGTCACATAAGACAAATTTTAAATGTTACTTTCCTTACAAAATCAAGCAGTCTTCCCAAGCTCTCAGTATTCAAATTTTATGAAAAGGGCAGTAAATCTTTGCACTTTGATCTTTTTTCTTCTTGGAGTTTTTAAAACTATCTACATACATCTGTATGATTCCATGTACCATCAGGCTACTTCTGATTTATAGACTTAATGACCTCTGAAAGGTCTTATCATCCAACAGGCCCGCTTAGGCCTTGCAAACGAAAGACTATGGCTTCCTTTACTGAATCAACTGATTTCTTGTTTTGTTTTCCCATTTTCTACTAAAGGGGTTTGAAAATAACGTTATAATGCCATTGTACAAAACTCTGGTAAGGGTGCATGTACAGTTCTGATCGCCACACCTCAAAAAATACATAGTGGAACTGGAAAAGGTGCACAAGCGAGTGACTAAAGTGATGAGTGGCTGGGGCACCTCCCTTATGAGGAAAGGCTACAGCATTTGGGGCTCTTTAGTCTAGAGAAAAGGGACCTGAGAGGGGCCAGAGACGTATAAATGCAGGGGGTGGATAGAGGGGAGCTCTTTTCCGTCTCATGCAATACCAGAACCAGGGGACATCCACTCCAGATGAGTGTTGGGAGAGTGATAACAGACCAAAGAAAATATTTCTTTACCCGGCATATTGTTAGTCTGTGGAACTCCTTGCCACAGGATGTGGTGATGGCATCTGGCCCAGATACCTTTAAAAAGGGATTGGACAGATTCTGGAGGAAAAGTCCATCACAAGTTACAAGTCATGATGGGGATGTATAACCTCCAGGCTTCAAAGGAAGGTACTTCAAAATGCCAGATGCAGGGAAGGGGTATCGGGAGACAGGTATCTTGTTGCCTTGTGTGCTCCCAGAGGCATCTGGGGGGCCCACTGTGAGATACAGGAGGCTGGACTAGATGGACCCTTGGCCTGATCCAGCAGGGCTCTTCTGCACTTCCCTTCAGTTTTACCAGGCATTATTGCTTTTCTTAATATGATTTGTGATATACTCAAAATACAGTTATCTCCATTCAGTCATTTAAGCATCTAATAAAATTCAGGCTTGATTTGATCTAAGACACATTTATTTTTCCTTGAAGTGGCCCATGATATGTATAATGCTTTCCTTCATATTTCAGATTAGATGCTTTTTCCTGTCAGCTTGATTGTTAAACTGTGTTATGTTTCTGTGTTTTTTTTACAGGGCTTGCCTAAGTGTTGAAAATGTCGTATATGCTTCCACATTTACACAATGGCTGGCAGGTAGACCAGGCCATTCTTTCAGAAGAAGATCGTGTGGTGGTCATTCGCTTTGGACATGACTGGGATCCAACATGTATGAAAATGGATGAAGTTTTATATAGTATTGCAGAAAAGGTATAGTGCTTTTAATTAGTATTCAATAAAAAAGTGAATTTGAATTAAACATATTTAATCCAATTAAGATAGTAAACATAAGGTAACAGGTATGCTTTTAATGCTACTTGTTTAACTTAAAACATGTAGCAGAACACAAGTAACATGTATATTTTTAATACAAATGGTTTTCTTGGCAAAAGTTGGTCAGCATTTTGGATTCAAGGCACTTATTTGCATCCCAATGACTCAATTGAATTTAATTGTTATTTGGTTTTGGATATTAGTCCTAAGAATAAACACACTTGTATGTGGTTTACAGACTACATTAATAAAGCACAAACTTCAGAATGAAAGAGTGAGGAACAAACTATCACCAGATGGAATAATAACCATTAATCTAGATATTTTAAAAAAGAATTAGACAGTGTAGTGGAGCATGAGTGGCTGTTAGTCAGGATGGGTATATATGTCTGCCTTTTTTTTTGGCTGGGGAGAAGGGGGGTAAATGTTGCCTTTGTGCTGTGGTTGTGGGCTTCCCAGAAGAATCTGGTTAGCCACTATGAAGAAAAATGATGATAAGTGTTTGTTCTAATCCCGTAGGGAAATGTTCGGAGAGCTACTTTATGAGGTTGTTCATATATAGTATCAATACATGCCTTGGGATTTTGAGAGCAAGCAGACGCAAGCGTTGGATTCATGTGCTTAATCCTTTCCTCAGTTTTCCCGAAGGTGAAAATATTGGGAGGTGGAAAGCCTCAATAGATGTTTGTGACAGACTAGTTTCCTGCTTTGTGTGAAGTGGACAGTGATTTTAATGAAGAATAGGCAACTTTGCTATTAAATATGTCATTGGACTGTGATTCCCGTAGTTAACCACAGAGCATGCTAGCTGTGGATGCTGAGAGTGGTAGAAGAAAAAATCCAGAGGACCAAAATTACTACCCCTGGTTTACATAAAAACTGTGTATCTACAAACGAGGAACACAGCCATGGTTTAAGCCTCTATTATTACCCCCTACAACAAATCAGTTTTCATTCATTATAATCACTAAGAAAGCTGTTAATTTCTAAATAATGGACAAAATTCTTAATTTCATGTATTTAACGGGAAAACAACATGTATGGATTTTTCAGTTTTTATGTATCTTTTAGTATGGAAGAGCTTGCTAAGTGAAACTTAGGCACAGAAAAACAACTCTTGTCAAGGAAAAGTTACCGATTTTGATCAAATGGTCCTTCAATGTATATTAATGTCATACCATATCTTAACGTTATGTACTGTACATGGGTTAGGGTTAAAATGTGTAAAATGAGCCCAAATGTAAGTTGATATATGATTCCCTTTCCTTCTGCATAGAGGATTTTATCAGGGTTTAGAACAACTTTCACAATAAACTGAGATTATTTTATAGTGAATTTAAATGGTACTAGAATCCTCTTCCCATGGCTACATGAGAGGAGGACCTGGCAACTCTAGTTTGTGCATCTAATGCTAAACTGTAACTAAGTGCTATTTGTTAACTAAAATCAAATTAGTAGTTGGGTAAAACTATAAGGTGAGACAAGGCTAATTCCTTTATGTCTGCTATGTTATATAGTCACTCCTTTGACAGTTTTTATTTTTCTGTGACTGCTGCCTCTTTATTTTCTTTAACTTTTGTTATGTATACTGTTGCTTTCCATATCATCTTCAGTGTCATCTGTTATAGCACCCTTATGCTAGGCAAAATTCTGTTGTGTAACTTTGCGCTGGAGTAACCCAGATCAGATGCTGGAAACATTTAATTTAATTAATTAAAAGCTTCCAACCTACTTGTTTTAGGTTTCAAGTCTCCCTAGGACTCCCTTTTGCCCTGGGGAAACCATTGGGAGCTATGAGATGAGGAGAAGGGTTAAATATCAAAAATTGCTGCGGGATCACTGCCACAGGAATCAGGACAGCTGGCATTGATCCAGCAGTATTTTTTTTAACTATTAAAGGTTTCTCCCAACCATCCTGAGACTACTAAAGCCTTCCCCAGGTTAAAAGGGAGTCTTGCAGAGCCTAAAACAGGAGAATAAGGAGTTTTTAATTAGTATAAATTGTTTCCAGCACCCAATCTGGAGTATGCTGGCACAAATTTACACCAATAAGATTTTGCCCATTGTTGCATAGCTACCTCACACAAAGGTCAAAGAAGCCCGTAGATCTTATTGTTGTCTCATGTGAATTCAGCATGTATGGTAGAATGCAACCTAATTTTTATGCTGCAGCTTTGAATCACAGCAAGATTGGTAATGTCTTGCAACCATTGAGGATGACAGGTGGAACCAAAATCTGATCGTAGAACTGGAAGATCAGATGCGCAGTTACTCTCCCACAGGCACAGTGATATATTTCATTCTCTTCAAATATATATCCTTCCTCCCATCTTTCATTGGGAGTGATGGAGACTACAATTAAATCAGAATGAATCCACAGCATTTGTAGGGTGAGAAGTTCAAGAACCTTTTCAGCCACAGGGGAATTAGAATAGTGGCTGTGGTCATAAGAGTACTAATATACAGTTGTGCCCCGCTTAACGATTGCCTCACTTAACGAGGAAATCGCTTTACAATTAGGTTTTGTGGTCTAAATGGGGGAATTTTGCTTAGTGATGATCGGTTCCCTGCTTCGGGAACCGATTTTCGCTTTACGACGATCAAAAACAGCTGATCGTTGGGTTTCAAAATGGCCGCCGACTGAAGAAATTCGCCCCCCGCTGTGCTTAGGGACGGATTCCTCGCTGCATAGGCATGGAAAATGGCCACCCCTATGGAGGATCTTTGCTGGACAGTGAGCTTTCAGCCCATTGGAACGCATTAACCGGGTTTTAATGCATTTCAGTGGACTTTTTTATTTAGTTTGATGATGTTTTCGCTCTACAGCGATTTCGCTGGAACGAATTAACATTGTCAAGCGAGGCACCACTGTATTTTGTTGCCAAGAAAGCATTCATTAAACTTCTGCATATCAAACTAAAGGTAATGTAAGTCCACAATTTACATAAATGAATTGTTCTTGGCAGATAGGAGATCCCTGAAACCTGACAAAGACTAGTCTCATGTTTGAAATGGAGGTGAAAAGCACATGACAACTGCCAACCAGTAAGATAACAGGAAAGGTATCAGAATAGATCACTCTTTTCTATTTCTATTATAATTCAGCTACAAATTCTCTATATTGAGAACACTGGCCTTTAATAGCACGAACCAAAGAAATTAGTGACAATTCTCTGAGGAGTCAGGAGTCCTACTATGCCTTGTGGAAGAGTTAGGCTATTTAGCCTTAGGCAAGCTACTACAGTGGTGCCTTGCTTAACAATGTTAATTCGTTCCAGCAAAATCACTGTAGAGCGAAAACGTCATAAAGCGAAAATAAAAACCCCCGTTGAAACGCATTAAAACCCGGTTAATGTGTTCCAATGGGCTAAAAACTCACCGTCCAGCGAAGATCCTCCATACGGCGGCCATTTTCGGTGCCTGTATAGTGAGGAGTCCATCCCTAAGCACAGCGGGGAGCCATTTTGAGCACCCGATGGCCATTTTGAAAACCCGACGATCAGCTGTTTTGATCATCATAATGTGAAGAATCAGTTCGTGAAGCAGGGAACCGATCTTCACAAAGCGGAAAAAAAACCATTTAAAACATCGTTTTGCGATCGCAAAAACATCGTCGTGAAACAGATTTGTCGTAATGCGGGGTAATCGTTAAGCAGGCCACGACTGTATCTCATGATGCTTTAGAGGTTCAGATGGAGCTTAAAAAGTTCCAATCATGGGAGTTACCTAACAATGTCTATTGCTGCAGACTTTGTCAGCTTATTGAGGAGCAGATGTACTAAACTCCGTTTAGATTTTTGACTAAAGCTTCCAGAATTCCAGCTGGCCTACTTCCCAACATAGTGCTCTACAGAGATTTGCATTAAGACTTCCATAGTTTCCCCAAACTGCCTCAGGCCTGTTCTAACTGTAGCCTCAAACATGAAAGAGGCATCATGTTTCTTATCTGTGCCATAGAGCCTTATGCAGTATTACCAGCACTAGGCAACATATGGAAGATCAGATGCCCAGTTACGCCGATGGGTCCCTTGAAAAGGTTTGTTCCCCAGTTTCTCATTAAAGTTGCAGCCCTTTTGCCTCCCATGAATGGGACTGATGTTTGCACAGGTACTCTACAACACCTATGTGGCTTAGCAACCCTGGGAATGACACCCCACACCGGGTAACAATACCTTGACCACACTTTGTGATGTCACTTTTTGTCAACTTGATAAAGTCTCCAGCAGAGACTTTAGGTAGAGTCATCATGTCCTCAACAGAGGAAAGCAGCTTGGCAACAACTCCTGAAAACCAAAAAGTGGAAAAGACAGAAGACCTTTCCTCCAACAAAACAACTGGGATGAGGAAGTCAAATCTATTTCACTGGACTGAGCAGGATACTTCCAACATAGAGGTGATTGAGGAAGGTTTTCTTCCAGGTACTCCTTTTTAAAATCTGCTTGTAGGTTTCCTGAAACATCCTATTGGGCATCCTAAAATATACCATTGTTTTTTGGGTCCTAAAGGGCTGCTTTAATAGCCTGATTTCATTGCAGAAGTACCAAAAACTTCTGCAATGAAGTG